GGTCCTGAGGGGGTTTTGGGTGGTCCTGGGGGGGTTTTGGGTGGTCCTGGGGGGGTTTTGGGTGGTCCTGGGGGGGTTTTGGGGGGTCCTGGGGGATTTCGGGGGTCCTCAGGAGGTCCTGGAAGTCTTGAGGAAGTCGCTGAGCATCGCTGGAGGTGTTTTGGGGAGATGTTCTGGGGGTTCTGGGGGTCCTGGGAGGGTTTTGGGGATTCCCCCAAGGGACAGAGGGGACACAGGGACCATTGCTCCCTTTGTCCCCCATTTTTCCCCTTTTCTCTCTCGGTCTCCGAGGTGACGGCGCAGGTGACGGGTCCCACATGGAACGTTTCCCCCAAATAACCCCATTTTTCCCCAAATAACCCCATTTTTCCCCAAATAACCCCATTTTTTCCCTGTTTTTCCCCATTTTTCCCCAAATAACCCAATTTTTTCCCCATTTTCCCCGTTTTCCCCCCAGAACTGTCGGTCTCCGAGGTGACAGCGCAGGTGACGGGTCCCACATGGAACATTTCCCCCAAATAACCCCATTTTTCCCCCAAATAACCCCATTTTTCCCCAAATAACCCCATTTTTCCCCCAAATAACCCCATTTTTTCCCTGTTTTTCCCCATTTTTCCCCCAAATAACCCCATTTTTTCCCCATTTTCCCCCGTTTTCCCCCCAGAACTGTCGGTCTCGGAGGTGACGGCGCAGGTGACGGGTCCCACAGGGGATATACAGAAACATTTCCCCCAAATAACCCCATTTTTCACCCAAATAACCCCATTTTTTCCCTGTTTTTCCCCATTTTTCCCCCAAATAACCCCATTTTTTCCCCATTTTCCCCCGTTTTCCCCCCAGAACTGTCGGTCTCGGAGGTGACGGCGCAGGTGACGGGTCCCTCGGGCCAGCCCGTGGCCTCGCAGGTGCTGCCGGGCTCGGGGGGCTCGGTGGGCGTTCGTTTCGTGCCGCAGGAGACCGGAGCTCACCGCGTCAGCGTCAAGGAGCGCGGGCAGCACGTGCCGGGGAGCCCCTTCCAGTTCACCGTGGGACCCCTGGGAGAGGGGGGAGCGCACAAAGTCCGGGCTGGGGGTCCTGGGCTGGAGAGAGCTGAGGCCGGGAGCCCCGGTGAGACCCCCGGGGTGGGCTGGGGATGAGGAATTGGGGGGGTTTTGGGGGGGTTTGGGGGGGTTTTGGGGAGTTTGGGGGGATTTGGGGGCCTGGGCTGGAGAGAGCCGAGGCTGGGAGCCCTGGTGAGACCCCCGGGGTGGGCTGGGGATGGGGAATTGGGGGGGGTTTGGGGGGGTTTTGGGGGGGTTTGGGGGGGTTTTGGGGAGTTTGGGGGGATTGGGGGTCCTGGGCTGGAGAGAGCCGAGGCTGGGAGCCCTGGTGAGACCCCCGGGGTGGGCTGGGGATGGGGAATTGGGGGGGTTTTGGGGTATTTGGGGTGGTTTTTTAGGGTTTTTGGGGTTTTTGGGGTGGGTTTTTGTGGTTTTTGGGGTTTTTGGGGTGGATTTTTGGGGTTTTTGGGGTGCTCTGACCCCCCATTTCCCCATCCCCAGCCGAGTTCAGTATCTGGACGCGCGAGGCCGGCGCCGGGGGTCTCTGTGTCCTTTATAGGGGAATTCATGGGAGTTTTGGGGTTTTTAGGGTGGTTTTGTAGGGTTTTTGGGGTGGATTTTTGGGGTTTTTGGGGTGCTCTGACCCCCCGTTCCCCCATCCCCAGCCGAGTTCAGCATCTGGACGCGCGAGGCCGGCGCCGGGGGTCTCTGTGTCCTTTATAGGGGAATTCATGGGAGTTTTGGGGTTTTTAGGGTGGTTTTGTAGGGGTGCTGGGGTGGATTTTTGGGGTTTTTGGGGTTTTTGGGGTGCTCTGACCCCCCGTTCCCCCATCCCCAGCCGAGTTCAGCATCTGGACGCGCGAGGCCGGCGCCGGGGGTCTCTCCATCGCCGTCGAGGGTCCCAGCAAGGCCGAGATCGCCTTCGAGGATCACAAGGACGGCTCCTGCGGCGTCTCCTACGTGGTGCAGGAACCCGGTGGGTGACGGGGTTTTGGGGGGTTTTGGGGTTTTTTAGGGGGTTTTGGGGATTTTTATGGGGTTTGGGGTTTTTGGGGACAGAGTTTTTGGGGTTTTTGGGGTCAGATCCCTCTCCCCTAATCCCCAAACCCCCCCAGGTGATCACGAGGTGTCGGTGAAGTTTCACCCCGAGTTTGTCCCCAAAAGGGGGGACAGAGACGTGATTTGGAGAGGGGTTTTTGGGTTTTTTTGGGGTTTTTGGAGTGGGATTTTTTGGGTTTTTGGGGTGGGATTTTGGGGTTTTTTGGGATCCAAAATTAGGGGATCCCCTCCCCTAATCCCCAAACCCCCCCAGGTGATCACAAGGTGTCGGTGACGTTCAACATCCCCAAGAGTGGGGACAGAGAGGGGACAGAGCCACATTTTGGGGCGGGATTTTGGGGTTTTTAGGGTTTTTTGGAGTGGGATTTTTGGGTTTTTAGGATGGGATTTTTGGGATTTTGGGGTTTTTTAGGATCCAAACTTCCTCCCCTAATCCCAAACCCCCCCAGGTGATTACGAGGTGTCGGTGAAGTTCAACGACGAGCACATCCCCGAGAGTGGGGACAGAGAAGGGACAGAGCCACATTTTGGAGGGGGATTTTGGGTTTTTTAGGGTGGGATTTTTTTAGGATTTGGGGGTTTTTTAGGATCCAAACCCCCTCCCCTAATCCCAAACCCCCCCAGGTGATTACGAGGTGTCGGTGAAGTTCAACGACGAGCACATCCCCGAGAGCCCCTTCGTGGTGACGGCCGCGGCCCCGAGCGACGCCGCGCGGCGCCTGACTGTTTCTAGCCTTCAGGTGAGGCACCTGGAGACCCCAAAAACCCCCAAAAAAACCCTAAAACAACAGCACAGAACCCCCCTGGAGCGCGGGGGGGCCCGGCCAGCGCAGCCCTCGAGGCCTTGGGGGGATTTGGGGTCTGTAGGGGCAGATTTGGGGTTTCTAGGGGCAGATTTGGGGTCTAAAGGAGCAGATTTGGGGTCTAAAGGAGCAGATTTGGGGTCTGTAGGGGCAGATTTGGGGTCTAAAGGAGCAGTGTTGGGGTCTAAAGGAGCAGATTTGGGGTCTAAAAGAGCAGATTTGGGGTCTGTAGGGGCAGATTTGGGGTTTGTAGGGGCAGATTTGGGGTCTAAAAGAGCAGTTTTGGGGTCTAAAGGAGCAGATTTGGGGTCTAAAGGAGCAGATTTGGGGTCTGTAGGGGCAGATTTGGGGTCTAAAGGAGCAGATTTGGGGTCTAAAGGAGCAGATTTGGGGTCTGTAGGGGCAGATTTGGGGTCTAAAGGAGCAGTTTTGGGGTCTGTGGGGTGGATTTTGGGGTCTGTAGGGACATTTTGGGTTTGTGGAGGTTTGTAAGGGCAGATTTTGGGGGTTTGGGATTTCTAGGGGCAATTTTGGGGTCTAAAGGAGCAGATTTTGGGGTTTCTAGGGACAATTTTGGGGTCTAAAAGAGCAGTTTTGGGGTCTGTAGGGGCCGATTTGGGGGTTTTTAAAGCAGATTTAGGGGTTTTTGAGCAGTTTTGAGGTTTTAGAGCGGATTTTTTAGGTTAAAAATCAGATTTTGAGGGTTTTAAATCCGATTTTGAAGTTTTAGATCCGATTTTGAGGGGTTTATATCAGATTTTGAAGGGTTTAGATGAGATTTTGAGTAGTTTCAAGCAGATTTTTTAGGTTTAAATCAGATTTTTTAGGTTTAAAATCAGATTTTGAGGGTTTTAAATCAGATTTTGAAGTTTTAGATCCGATTTTGGGGGGTTTAAATCAGATTTTGAAGTTTTAGATCAGATTTTGGGGGGTTTAAATCGGATTTTGGGGGGTTTAAATCAGATTTTGGGGGGTTTAAATCAGATTTTTGAGGTTTTAGATCAGATTTTGGGGGCTTTAAATCAGATTTTGGGGGGTTTAAATCAGATTTTTGAGGTTTTAGATCAGATTTCGGGGGGTTTAAATCAGATTTTGGGGTATCCGAGGCAGTTTCGGGGTCCCTGCGCTGGCCCAGCCCCCCCAGCCCGGGGGTCCCGGGGGTCTCTCTCGTGTCTCTGATAAAGGCTTTGAACAGGGGGGGGCTGGGGGGGTTCAACGGGAGCCAGCGGGGCCCCAAAAAAAAACCCCAAAATCCCCCCAAAATCGGGGGGTCCCGGGGTCCCCGCTGCCTCCCGCTGAACCCCCCCACCCCCCAAGGTAAGTGGGGTCCGGGGGGGACCCCAAAACCTCCCCCCCACCCCCTTTAGGGACCCTCAAACCCCTCCCCATCCCAAAATGGGGATTTTGGGGGGGTTTGGGGCTCCCCTCTGGGGGTTTTTAAGGGGAGGATTTGGGGTTTTCCACCTCCCCAGAAATATTTGGGATGAGAATTTGGGGTTTTCTCCCTCCCCAAAAATATTTGGGATGAGGATTTGGGGTTTTCCACCTCCCCAAAAATATTTGGGATGAGGATTTGGGGTTCTTCTCCCACCCCAAAAATATTTGGGATGAAGTTTTGGGGTTCTTATCCTACCCCAAAAATATTTGGGATGAGGATTTGGGGTTTTCCACCTCCCCAAAAATATTTGGGATGAGGATTTGGGGTTTTCTCCCTCCCCAAAAATATTTGGGATGAGGATTTGGGGTTTTCCACCTCCCCAGAAATATTTGGGATGAGGATTTGGGGTTTTCTCCTACCCCAAAAATATTTGGGATGAGGATTTGGGGTTTTCCACCTCCCCAAAAATATTTGGGATGAGGATTTGGGGTTTTCTCCCTCCCCAAAAATATTTGGGATGAGGATTTGGGGTTTTCCACCTCCCCAGAAATATTTGGGATGAGGATTTGGGGTTTTCTCCCACCCCAAAAATATTTGGGATGAGGATTTGGGGTTTTCCACCTCCCCAAAAATATTTGGGATGAGGATTTGGGGTTTTCTCCCTCCCCAAAAATATTTGGGATGAGGATTTGGGGTTTTCTCCCTCCCCAAAAATATTTGGGATGAGGTTTTGGGGTTCTTATCCCACCCCCAAAATATTTGGGATGAGGATTTGGGGTTTTCTCCCACCCCAAAAATATTTGGGATGAGGATTTGGGGTTTTCCACCTCCCCAAAAATATTTGGGATGAGGATTTGGGGTTTTCTCCCTCCCCAAATTTTTTGGGATGGGGATTTGGGGTTTTCCAACCCTCCCTGGGATTTTTAGGGTGGGAATTCGGGGTTGTTTTCTCTCCCCAATTCTTTTAGGATGTGGATTTTGGGATTTTTCTATCCCCCCCCCCAAATTTTTTGGGGTGAGGATTTTGGGGGTCCCAGCCCCGAAACCTCTCAGATTTTGGGGTTTTTTGGGGTTTTTGTTTGAGGTTTTAATTTTATCTTTGTTGTTTTTATGGGAGTTTATTTTGGGGTTTTTTGGGGCATTTTTAGGAGAGATTTTTTATTTATTTCTTTGGGATTTTTGGGGTTATTTTTGCGCTTTTTTGGGTTTATTTTATGTATTTTAAGGGCTCTTTATGGGGGGATTTTTAGGAGAATTTTTTGGTTTCTTGGAGAGTTTTGGGGTTTATTTTTTGGTTTTTTTGGGGTTTACTTTTTGTGGGGTTTTTGGGGATTTTTTGGGGTTTTTTTGGTGGATTTTTGGGGGGTGTTTTTTTGATTTTTGGGGTTTTTTTAATTTATTTTTTCCTGTTTCTTTGAGGGATTATTTTTGTTTTTTACGAGGGTTTATTTCAGCTTTTCTGAGGGCTCTTGGTGGGGGTTTTTGGGAGCTTTTTTTGGGACTTTGGGATTCTTTTGATGCTTTTCTTGTTTCTTTGGGAGCTTTCCTTGTGTGTTTTTGGGAGGGGATTTTTAGCTCGTGTTTATTTTATTTTATTTCATTTATTTTATTTTATTTTATTTCATTTAATTTCATTTCATTTTAATTTGATTTTATTTTGTTTTGTTTTGTTTTACTTTATTTTACCTTATTTTATTTCATTTCATTTATTTTGCTTTATTTAATTTTATTTTTCTCTATTTTATTTTATTTTATTTTACTTCATTTTTTTTTATTTTACTTCATTTTTCTTTATTTTATTTTTTTAATTTCATTTCATTTCATTTATTTTATTTTATTTTTCTCTATTTTATTTTGTTTTACTTTACTTCATTTTTCTTTATTTAATTTTTTAAATTTAATTTAATTTCATTTATTTTATTTTATTTTTCTCTATTTTATTTTATTTTACTTTACTTCATTTTTCTTTATTTAATTTTTTAATTTAATTTCATTTATTTTGCTTTATTTAATTTTATTTTTCTCTATTTTATTTTATTTTACTTCATTTTTCTTTATTTTATTGTTTTAATTTAATTTCATTTCATTTATTTTATTCTATTTTTCTCTATTTTATTTTATTTTACTTTATTTTTCTTTATCTTTTTAAAATTTAATTTCATTTAATTTTATTTCATTTCACTTCATTTATTTTATTTATTCCATTTCACTTCATCCCCTTTCCCCCAGCACCTTTTCAGGGACCTCCCCTTTATTTCCCCCTCTACTTTTTTCCCTTTTTCCTCCCCAAATCCCTCAGCTTTTGGGGGAGGGTTCCTGGAATTCTTTTCCCGTTTTTTGGGGGGTTTCTGACCCGTGTCCCCCCAGGAGTCGGGGCTCAAGGTTCACCAGCCGGCCTCGTTCGCCGTCAGCCTCAACGGCGCCCGCGGAGCGCTGGACGCCAAAGTTCACAGTCCCTCGGGGGCCCTGGAGGAATGTCACATCTCCGAGGTCACCCCAGGTGAGGGACACCCCGAAAACGCCCCCAGAAACATCCCCGAGGTGGTGGGGGAAAGCGGGAAGAGAAAAAACGGGAAATTCCAGAGCAAAATTGGGAAATTTCAACCCGAAATCGGGAAATTTCAACCCGAAATTGGGAAATTTCAACCCGAAATTGGGAAATTCCAACCCGAAATTGGGAAATTTCAACCCGAAATTGGGAAATTTCAACCTGAAATTGGGAAATTCCAACCCGAAATTTGGAAATTCCAACCCGAAATTGGGAAATTCCAGAGCAAAATTGGGAAATTCCAACCCGAAATTGGGAAATTCCAGACCAAAATTGGGAAATTCCAACCCGAAATTGGGAAATTCCAACCCGAAATTGGGAAATTCCAACCCGAAATTGGGAAATTCCAACCCGAAATTGGGAAATTCCAACCTGAAATTGGGAAATTCCAACCCGAAATTGGGAAATTCCAACCTGAAATTGGGAAATTCTAACCCGAAATTGGGAAATTCCAGACCGAAATTGGGAAATTCCAACCCGAAATCGGGAAATTCCAGACCCGAAATTGGGAAATTACAGACCTGAAATTGGGAAATTCCAACCCGAAATTGGGAAATTTCAACCCGAAATTGGGAAATTCCAACCCGAAATTGGGAAATTCCAGACCCGAAATTGGGAAATTCCAACCCGAAATTGGGAAATTCCAGACCAAAATCCGGAAATTTCTCTCTAAAATCAGCAAATTCCAACCCAAAATCAGGAAATTCTGGCTTGAAATCGGGAAATTCCTCCCCAAATTCCACCCTGAAATCGGCAAATTCTAACCCAAAATACCAAAAAATTTCTCTCTAAAATCGGCAAATTCCAGACCGAAATCCCCAAATTTCTCTCTAAAATCGGCAAATTCCAGATGGAAATTGGGAAATTCCAGACCAAAATTGGGAAATTCCACCCCGAAATCCCCAAATTCCTCTCCAAAATCCTCAAATTCCGGCCCAAAATCAGCAAATTCCACCCTAAAATTGGCAATTTCCACCCCAAAATCAGCAAATTCCTCCCCAAAATCTTCCCCATTCCCATAAAAACAGGTTTTCAGGGATGATTTTGGGATTTCAGGGATGATTTTGGGATCCCCCTTTCCCCGTTTTCCCCAGACAAAAACAACCGTGCGCTTCACCCCGCAGGAATTTGGGATTTGGGGATGGTTCGGTTCCGGATTTTGGGGTTTCGGGGATAATTCTGGGATTTCAGGGATAGTTTTGGGATCCCCTTTTCCCCGTTTTTCCCAGATAAATACGCCGTGCGCTTCATCCCGCGGGAGAACGGCGTCTACTCCATCGACGTGAAGTTCGAGGGCTCCCACATCCCCGGGAGCCCCTTCAAGGTCCGGGTGGGAGAGCCAGGACAGGCCGGGGATCCGGGCCTGGTCTCGGCCTACGGGCCCGGCCTGGAGGGCGGCACCACAGGTACGGAATTCTGAGGGGGAAAAAATGGGAATTTAGTGGAAAAATGGGAATTTTGGGGATGAGGGAGTGTGGGGGCGTGCCACAGGTACGGAATTTGGGGGAAAAAATGGGAATTTGGGAGGGAAAAAACAGGAATTTGGGGATCTGGGCCTGGTCTCGGCCTACGGTCCCGGCCTGGAGGGCGGCACCACAGGTACGGAATTCTGAGGGGAAAAAATGGGAATTTGGCAGAAAAACTGGGAATTTGGGAGGTTATGGAGCTGGAGGGAGCTACAGGTACCAGGAATTTGGGGAAAAATTGGAATTTAGGGGAAAAACCAGGAGTTTTGGAGGGATGTGGGACAGGCCGAGGATCTGGGCCTGGTCTCGGCCTACGGGCCCGGCCTGGAGGGCGGCACCACAGGTACAGAATTCTGAGGGGAAAAAACCAGGAATTTTTGGGGAAAAGGGGAATTTCTGAGTTCTCGGTGCTGTCTGAATCCCTTTCCCAATGGGATTTGGGTGTCAAATGCTCTTTTCCGTGGGATTTGTGCCGCAGGCTCGGCGGCCGAGTTCGTGGTGAACACGTCCAAGGCGGGCCCGGGCGCTCTGGCCGTGACCATCGAGGGCCCGTCCAAGGTGACCATGGAGTGCCAGGAGTGTCCCGAGGGCTTCAGGGTCAGCTACACGCCCATGGCCCCCGGCAGTTACCTCATCCACATCAAATTCGGGGGGCCCCATCACATCGTGGGGAGCCCCTTCAAGGCCAAGGTCACCGGTGAGCGCCGGGGCTGGGGTGAAAGGGGGGGATTTAAGGGGATTTGGGGGGGGTTTAAGGGGATTTAAAAGGG